TGCGCCAATCAAATCTTTTGTAGTAGAGAGTCGAACTTATGTATCAGTGGGTTGAACTTATATTCTGACAGTTGAACTTATATTCTGAGGTAAAAGGCCTAAATGTTGTAAAAGGAAGTTGAGAATGTTAAAAGGCTTGTGTAGAAGTCTCCCCATTATATCGGAGACATGTTTCACGACTACCAAAGGAAATCCCCTATAACCATTTGCAAACTAGCATTAATGTATATAGGTATTCTTTTTATCCAAGAACTATTATTGCGTCGAACAATATCCCACTGACAATGTCAATTAAGGGCCTGTTCATTTGATCCCGCTTACCGGGACGTCTCGCTTACCGAGACGAATATTTCCGTGCGTTCATATGGAGTATTTCGTCCCGCTTGCCGAGATGAAATTACATTGTAGTTCTATAATTAGCGTATGCAAAACTTCTACATTTCAGTCAAGCAACACAAATACTTGGCGATTTTCAGTGTTTTTCTTCGTTTATTTACAAGAAAAAGTATTGCTTCAGGTGGTTATTTAATACTTGTTTACAAAACAAACATAAAACCAAGTAAAAAGTGTTAAATTAAACCGGCAAGACTTGTTTCACTTCATCCCGGTAAGCGGGCTGGCGTGTTCATATGGAAAAATTTTCATCCCGCCTACCTATGATCTCGGCAAATTCAAACGAGATCTCGGCAAGCGGGCCAGCTCGCTTTCTCATATGAACACAATGCAAAATTTTATAGGAAAATAGATAGGCGGCGAGATCATCGGTAAGCGAGACGTCCCGGTAAGCGGGATCATATGAACAGGCCCTAAATGAGTAATCTTAGTAGTTTTTCTGTTTTTAAGGAGAAGAAAGCAATTGCTTTCGTGAGATCGTAAATTACTATAGTAAGCACATTCTGTATATTACCGTATTCTTGTAAATAGAGTTATATTTCTATATCTCCTGGTATGGTGTAAACTGTTTGAGGAGTACTTGATTAAGAGGAATTTTCTTGTATATGTTACGTAACACGCGCTCAAAACTAATGGTAATGCGTATAATATATCGCTTGAGGTTATGACTAAATTCAAAATTATTATTTTTCGTTACGTTTCTCAATCGGCAAACAAACTTAAAAAGTATGTTTCGTGCTTTATCTGTAAAATAATGCCAAAATGAAGAGATTTTAGATGATACGCCAAAGAGAAACTGATGTCTGAAATTCAGTAAGTTTTGCTTATATGGCTATAAATATGGCGTCAATTTTAAAGCATCATTGATATTTGTACTTTAATTGACAATTTTTAACTGTTATTTTATGTTTCTCAACCGGTAGATGCATTTAAAAGGTAGTTAACTCTATAAACTAGAGAATAAAGCTAAAACAAAGTAATTTTGAGAGGAACGCCAAAAAGATTTTAGGTTTTGAACACTTTTCATTGCAAATACGTGACATTGAAAAAAATTGCCTCTTAAAGATTAAAGATTCTTAGGTAGTGATATTATATTATGCTGCTGATTGATACAACTACATGAAAAACACAAGGAGAACATCGTGATTTCTCGAAACTCGCTCGAAACGTTCTCCTTGTATTTTTCACGTAGTTGCATCCCTTTCAATCTGAAGCTTCGAACTTGCGCTTTCAAAAATAATTTCTGACAATTCATTTGAATGAACACAAATAGAAGTTATTATTTAATCATCCACCTCAAACTTGAAGTCTGATGTCCGTCAAGCACACAGTTAAAACTCTCACATCTTCTCAATTCTCCCAAATTGTGGCAATTGATACACCAGGCGGAAATCTTAGTTTAAAGATAAAGAGCAGAGCCCAGCAAATAACTTTAAAACCAAACATATTATAAAAGTAAAAAATATTAGCTAACGTTTCGTATTTTTACTTTTAATTTGTTTGGTTTTAAAGTTATTTTTTGTTATGTCATGACTGTATCAGACTTGTTACATGTAGTTAGAACAACCTTGTGACAAGTCTGATAATGGCATAAAGCTTGTTACAAGTTTTTTTCTGTGTTGGTGTAATGTACTCAGGGGAATATGATGCTTGTGATGCTACTCTGAGTCGGTATATCCACACCGGGCAAGCTTGAAAAATATGCCGGACAACGGTGGGAATCAAACCTACGACCTTTGGAATACTAGCCCAGCTCTGCCAACTGAGCTACGCGGTCAGGTCGGTTCGAGTATGTGATATTTCGGAACAGAATCTAGTTCCTACGATATCAATGCAATCTAGTAATCATGATTTTTTCTGTGTTGGTGTAATGCACTCAGATGAATATGATGCTTGTGATATTACTCTGAGTGTAGTTCCACACAGGGCAAGAATAAATCATGATTGCTAGATTACATTGATTTCGAAGGAAATAGATTCTGTCCCGAAATATCACTCGAACCGATCTGACCGCGTAGCTCTGTTGGCAGAGCATTGGACTAGTATTCCAAAGGTCGTAGGTTCCATTCCCACCGTGGTCGGGCATATTTTTCAAGCTTGCCCGGTGTGGATATACACTCACAGTAACATCACAAGCATCATTGTTACAAGTTGTTAACAACATGTTCCAAAAATTGTTACAACAACTCGGAACAAGTAGTGCAAACACCACTTGTCGACAGTTTGTGAATAGCTCGAGTAAACAATCGCCCATTATAATTGCTCAATGCTCCCAAGAATAAACGTCTGAGCAACAAGCCGAGAAATTCCATAATGATGACATTTTACTGCTACGAATTGGGTAGTCAGGGGATTTGATTGGTTCAGATGGTCACGTGTTAATTAATATTTATTTGTCTCGCGAGACTGCTAGACATGTGTGGGATTACTGCGGGCAGCAGAACTTCATTGTAGCATACATCAGGATTGGGAATATCAGTCCCAGAGATGGAAAAAAATATCAGAACCTGGGAGTTCCCAGAAAGTATTTGGGATCTACAGTTTTGCAGAAATTTTCACACACATTTTTTTATGTTTGATAACAAATTCTCAATTCAATTGAATATCTAAATAGTGTTTTTGACTTTCACTAAAAAGGTAATGACAGTTTTTGGTGATTGATATTAAATTAATATTCTATCGTATGTACACTATCATACTACTTAGATGGATGCACTTATGCTTGCATATATCTAAGGTCATACCAGGCCGGCTAGTAATCCAATAATCTGTAGACAATCGGCAGCATTATCTATATTTCAGACTATCTAAAACCGATTATTGAGAAAATATGCACTTTAAAAATGATGTGCAATGCATATTGATACACAATACAATACAATACTTTATTGACAACTGCAGCAGGGGCTTTTCAGTGACAATGTTACAATATACAATTACTTTATGGTTTCCGTGTTTGGATGGCCTGATCCAAACACGCGGGAATGTTGCGAGAGTTAAGAAAAGCGAGCGAAACACGAGCCGAAGGCGAGTGATTTTGCCCGCTTTTCTTAACTCAAGCAACATTCCCAAGTGTTTGGATCAGGCCATCCAAACACGGAAACCATAAAGTAATTGTTTTATAAAATAACAACAACACGATAGTCTTCCGTGTTTGGATGGCCTGATCCAAACACGGGTTTCGACCAATCAGAACACGCGTTATATACATGTTATTTTATAATATTAAATACATGCTGTGTTTAAATTAATGTGTGAAGCGTGCCATTTATGACCAGTTTGACGATCTTTGATTACAGTAACATGTTACATTGGAAATTATCGCTAAAAATCAACATGAATGACGTTACTTTACTCGGTCGACTGATATTATGACGTCATTATAAAATCGGTATCGGTATCAGGTAGATTGGGGCATTAATAATCGGTAGTAATACCTACAGTACAGGTAACATTCTTTCTATTTGTTAGAGTTTTTCCTCTGAATTCCTCCTTTTATCCAAATGTTTACAATTATATTTATCTTTCCTGGGGAAAATTATCTGGGAGAAATGGGAGCCGTCATCCAATACTTTTTCCACCCTGCTTAAAGGGTTAAGCTTCATAGACATGCATGGACAGGTGTTACATAATGTGTTGTGCCCCGCAGTAACAGCATATTGCAGCTTAGCCATGACGGATATCTCAAATGTGAGCTTCCAGTGACAAACATGCAGAGTTTTGGAACTACCCAATAAATATAAGCAAGGAAATATTACGTTTTGTTCAATCTATCCTTTAAGTTAACAAACACCTTGGTGATGAATATCGATAACCAATCAAAATTGTTCCAAAAATATTCCTCTTCATTTAAGTATCTAGAAATCAATAAACAATTGAAAGTTAAAGTTAAATACAAAGTACTAAGTACTGCGTATACTTGAATGTGCCAGTGTAAGTAGCAATGATAACAAGACAAGTCAAGATTTGACATTTTGAGAAACGTCAAAGTTCTGCTTGTAATTTTCTGCTATTATTTTGTTTTTTTGTATCTCACTAACTTTTGTGCTACCAGGTGGCTACTAGTGCATGCAATGCCTCAATCCCTTAAACAGATTGTTTTTGTTTTCAGATAGGAAACAATAAAATTGCACATAGTTATACCATCTACTATGACATATAAAACTAAACAAATGGCAAATTATTGCCTTAGTATAAATTACAAGATTACAGGATGGTAATGAATACCAATTTCACCCACAGTCCACCTTTCCCCTTAGGAATGAACATTGATAGATCATGAGCCCCAGCAGATTATACTGTGCAGTGCATTGAAATGCTACATTCTCTACTGGCATGAAGCTCACTCTCAGTACAAATGAGCTCCAATAAGGTGCGTATTACAGCGCTATATATGTCACTACATGTAGACTGTTGCAGTATTTGAAAAGAAATGGAAACCGATACTGGAAAAAATACTGATAATACCAATTTATCACATACTTGTACCTTTATCAGGTAGGAAGCAGCGGGACATAAAAACGATATCGTCCCGGATATCGTTTTTTGTCCCGGATATCGTTTTTTGTCCCGCGCCTCGATATACAACTATATCATATGAGTCAAAGAACCAGTTCGAAGTTCTCAGCGTTAGTGACCACGAAGAAGAAGTAAACAAATCTGCATCAGATCTGGATCAATCCTCTGCTAGACATCATAACACAGATATATCAGCCAAACATGGAGACAAGCCAAGGCAAAGCGGAGACAAACCAAACCAACGCCGAAGCGGGCAAAATAGTCGAAAGATCGAAAGACGCCAGCAATCCAAAGGAAACATACAAGATCGTCAATCAAATTTGGACGAACGGAAAGATAAAAGCGAACCCAAAGCGACAAAACAAAGGCAACCTAACATTGTAATCTTAGGGGATTCAATGTTAAAACATTTGAATCCCCGACGAATTCAGCAAGGAATTGACCAAAAGATATCAATAAAAACCTTTCCTGGAGCTGGTGTTGACGAAATGACCCACTATGTTAAACCGACGCTCCAAAAGAAACCAAAGCATATTATCCTGCACATAGGTACTAATGACCTGCAAACGAAATCGCCAGATGCGTTAATTAAAGCTGTAACAAAACTTGGAGAGGCTATAACGCAAGAAATAAGTGGTATTGAACTTACGCTGTCGGAAGTCATCACAAGAACCGACGATTTGCAACTTGCTGATAAGGTAAACATTTACAATAATAAATTAGACAATCTATGTACTGAACGCAATTGGGGATTTATTACACATAAAAGTATCACTAAGACTCATTTAAATAACTATGGTTTGCACTTAAACCAAAGAGGAACAACTGCACTGGCAAGAAACATAAAACAGTTTTTAAAAAATCAATCCTTAAATTGAAATCAAGCCGCGGTCAAGAATACTAATAGTAATAAGCATACAGATCGATTAAAGGGATTCAAGATCGCTCATTTAAATGTACGAAGCTTAATCAAGCATATCGATGAACTAAGGCTGTATCTTTATAAACAACAATTTGAAATAATTAGCGTTAACGAAACCATGCTTGACCTGTCTATCTCAAATCAAGAGATCAAAATTAATGGTTATGATATTGTGAGAAAAGACAGGAATAGGCATGGTGGTGGAGTCGCAATATACATAAGAACCTCAATAAACTTCATAATAAGAGACGATTTAACTGACGATAATCTCGAAACAATTACACTTGAAATTTCAAAACCAAAATCCAAACCATTCTTAATTAATAGTTGGTATAAACCACCCAATACAACACTTGAAATATTCAATGCATTCGAGGATTTAGTTACTCGAATGGACTCTGAAAACAAGGAAATAATTTTACTTGGAGATTACAACTGCGATTGGTCTCACTTGGATAGTAACAGCGCTAACGCTCACACAAACAAGCTTGCTGGAATTGCACAGACATTCCAATTTCAACAATTAATTAGTGAACCAACGCGAATTACAGCTAATAGTAAAACCTTAATAGATCTAGCATTCACCAATAAACCGGAATTGATAAATGGCTCGGGTGTCATTCATCTGGGGATAAGTGATCACAGCTTAATCTATATACAGAGAAAAATTTCCGTTCCCCGTAAAGAGCCAAAAGTGATTAAATCAAGAAATATCAAACACTACAACTCAAACAACTTTAAATCAGACCTTTCCACATACTTATATGATCAAGTATTCTGTGATACAATGCTTGATCCAAATATTATGTGGGAAAATTGGAAAACAATATTTCTGTCGGTTGCAGATTTTCATGCACCAGAAAGAACAAAAAAAGTTAGAAGCAAGTACGCGCCATGGATTACAGAAAATATTAAACAAACTATGCGTCGAAGAGACTTTTTAAAGAAAAAAGAACATCCAAATCAGCAGGGCATGATAGAATACCCGGTAAACTTCTAAGAGACGCTGCTGAGGTAATAGCACCATCCCTGTCAGCAATCTTTAACGCATCTATAAACACTGGTATATTTCCTGAAGACTTCAAGATTGCTATCATTTCTCCCATTCATAAAGCTGGAAGCAAAACTAATTGCGATAATTATAGACCAATCTCGGTTCTATCCTCAGTTGCTAAAATATATGAGTGATTTTTTTGGATCTCAAGAAAGCGTTTGACTGTGTTGATCATAATATATTGTTAAAAAAAATGCATTGTTATGGAATAAGAGGTCATACGCTTGCTTGGTTCCAGTCCTATCTTTCTAGCAGGATTCAAATATGTAAGGTAGATCAAACAATGTCCAAGACAAGAACAGTTAGATGTGGAATACCCCAAGATTCTAATCTTGGGCCACTTCTTTTCTTATTATATATAAACGACCTGCCAAACTGCCTGACCTCATCTTCAGCAAGCATGTTTGCCGATGACACAAATGTTTCAACCAATGGCAAAACAAATGACGAACTACAAGAACGCATTAACGTGGACTTAGAAAATATACACCAATGGTTACTTGCAAACAAACTTACACTTAACAAAGATAAAACTGAATACATGATTATTGGTTCAAGACAACGAATTTCAAACTTAGTACTAACGGACCCTAAAATCGAGCTTGGTGAATCAGTCATTAAACGGGTTCACAAATCAAAAACTTTAGGCGTAATTATTGATGAACATCTTTTATGGAATCATCAAATCCAAAATATTGTCACAAAAGCTTCAAAAGGAATAGGAATGATGCAACGAATAAAACAGTTTGTTCCCAAATCAACCTTAGTAAAAATATATAATGCCATTGTGCTATCACATTTTGATTATTGTAGCTTGGTTTGGGATAACTATTGTGATTACTTAAAAAACAGACTTCAGAAATTACAAAACAGAGCGGCCCGAATCATCACTGGTAAAACTTATGAAGTTAGTTCTGAGGATGTTTTAAAAGAATTAGACTGGCAACCTTTAAACCAACGCTATAAAACCAATAAATCGATTTTTATGCACAGAATACGAAACGAAAAAATGCCATCATCAATTTGCAACATGTTCAAAATTAAAATAAATGACAGATATGATTTAAGAAGTAACAATAACAACTATGATCTTGGAAAACCTGAAACAAATTTTATGAAAAAGAGCTTCAGTTATTCAGCTGCATCCCTTTGGAATGACTTATCAACTACAGCAAAAGAAAAAGGCATTAGCCTTAACAAATTTAAACGTACTCTTGACGGCACTTGATTCCTTTTGGTAACTTTGTAAATATTTAAATAGGATAGGATATTTTTAGATACAAATGTAGTGCATGCAATTATTAAGTTTGTTATGTTTTCTCTGTTTTTGTGTGTATATTTGTGTTATTACATTTAAATAGCTTGTAAATACTGTAATAAACGGCCTCTTGAAAAACAGGTGCCTACGAGCCCTGAAGAGCTACCGTTTTAAAATATTTTTAAATAATAATAATAATAATAACAAAGATGGCCGACTCGAGGTTCGTGTTGGTTTATGTCGACAGTTTATCGAAGAAAACAAGAACGATAATACAAAACGAAAGAATTAAATTGTATGTTATTTAAATGAATGGTCTATTTATTTTCTAAAATCATATTTGTTCAGTAAATGATGAATTGTTTTGAATTCTAATGATCCTATTTTTTCAAAACTGTTTACTTTTGGGTGTCAAACCCTGATAAAGGTACAAGTATATAATAAATAGGTTATCGTACTCGGGATTCGGTGATATCAGTTTTATCGCTCTCGGGACGATATCACAATTGTCCCTCGCTCGCTGCGCTCGCTCGTGACAATTGTGATATCATCCCTCGAGCGATAAAACTGATATCACCTCATCCCTTATATGATAACCTATATATATCAATATTTTTTCGCGATTGAATCAATGTGGTTGAATATTTTTTCGCGATTGAATACATGGAATCAAATTTTGTTGAATAACTTGAATAGGTCAGTTACCACAGTCAGGGTTTGGATATGGGTCAGGGTTAGGGAAGGGTTTGGATATGGCTCAGGATTAGGGAAGGATTTGGATATGGGTCAGGGTTAGGGAAAGATTTGGATATGGGTCAGGGTTAGGTCACAGTTTGGATATGTGTCAGGGATAGGATATATGGGTCAGGCACTAAATAATTTGAAACTTATGTTTCTACTACAAGAATTTTTATACTGTTTGTACCATTAGGCCACTACAAGTTAATCTTTAGTTTCTGGTCCGCCGCCCGCATCCTCTCTCCGTAAAGTATTATTTCAGGACTATTTTGTTATTTGCAATTAATTTCTAGTTCTTGAAAATTTTCGCGAAGAACGATAGAACGATAAATATTCAATTTACACTAAAAAGACCTAGAAAAATGTAGTATTGAATGGTACAAACGCTGCCTTATCGAGATTACGAGGTAAAAAAACTAGAAATATTAATAGATTATTTTGATATGTAAAATCCTTTGTAATCTGACATACATGTCATTTATACATAAATGCAATTTATGTAGAATTTCATAACATTTTGATACAATTAGCATGAAAATGGACAAGAAAGACAACAAAAATTTGGGCAAAGCCACAATTGTAATTATGTCCTATAGTCCTAACCACCTGCCCGCGTCGTAAACGAAGGTAAGGCCGGACCAGAAACTAAAGATTAATGAATTAGCCTGGTATTCTATAATTACTCCAAATGCATTAATTTTATGAAAAATATTTGGAATTCGTAGGATTTTCTTAAAAAGGCAAGGACAGAAATTCAGCTGGGTGGATAATCAACTGCAGCAAGAAAAGTTCTGACTTGCGGGACTTATGTTGCAGTGCCGTGGCAAGCTCGATAATTGGGGGAAGCTCATATTTATATATTCGTGTTCTGCGTTATTAATTTCTTTTGAAATCGATTCTTTTTATGGTCTGTGAACACGAATATATGAATATGAGTCCTCCATTGCTACGGCACTGTGTTGAATGGCACTGAATGTGCGACAGCAAGTGAGGAAGCTATTCAATAAAATGACAAGTTCGATCACACTACATGACCTACCTGTGTATAGAATAGGGAACTTTTTGTATTAAGCACGCTTCATATCTTCTTAGATAGTTGGTCGATCATTGTCAAGCCATAATACTCCATGTAGGGTAGAATGTGTGCCTGATAATCACAGAATAGAGATCGATTCTGTCAATTTCTGTGCTAAAAATGTTCTTCCTTCTTGTTCGACCAGTGCTTCCATTTTTAAAATCAAAACTTCTCATTTTTGTCATCAAAATTTCTCTAAATTCCTTAGATTGTATATGTTATTTCCTTGAAAATTCCTTGAAATTTCATGAAGCAGTTTGCAGTGATTTTGCAGTGATTTTGCAGCAATACAAAGGATTTAATTAATTTTCAAGGCATAAAATAGCACAATTAACAAAGATATGGGCTAGCTAAGAACTACAGGCTATTATACTGTTTAAAATTAAATATTTGTTATGAATTTACAAGAGATACCTTTACATTGATATGATTAATTAACTATTCACAACGTTTGCCGCCAAAAGTTACTAAATCCTATCGCTTAAAAACTTTTGGAAATTTTCGGAATTTCCGACCGGAAACACGAGGAAAAAGTTAAAAACAGATTTTTAATTAAAGATAATTGATAATTCACTCAAAAATTTTTAAAAAAATGGAAACCTTCTTCTGCACTAATGCGCTTGGGTGAATATTTAAGTTTTTCGGAAAAAATCCTTAGATTTCCTTAGATTTTTTCTCTTCCTTAGATTTTCCTTTTCGACAATAGAATTTCCTTAGAAAAGGAAATTTCCTTGAAAATGGAAGCACTGGTTCGACGAGCACATGGATAAAGTATGATCTGTGGTATGACGTAATTGTTCTCACGCGCATGCGTGAATATCCCCTCTCATC